CATTCATATTGTTTTGGTATCAGTCATATTGTTTTGGTATCAGCCAAGTTGACTGCAGACAGTGATGTGTGGTGTAACCAACCAACACATGCATGTGTGACATTACAACAGCACCATCCTTATTTTAGTTCGTCTCTAAACACACCGTGGTCAAGTTAGCTACATGTTCTTTTCTCAGACTTTTAACTTGGGTATTACTGTTGACTGAGTAATAGGACATCAGGACATCACGTGAATGAGTAATAGGACATCAGGACATCACGTGACTGAGTGACAGGACACCACGTGACAAACAGGACATCATGTGACTGAGCAATATGACATCAGGACATCACCTGACCGATTAACAGGACAACAGAACGTCACGTGACTGATTCAAAGGGCATCAGTAAACCACCCTTACACTTTAAAGACCAAAACGGAATCTGGTTCCAAATAAGAAGTTGTGTATTATTGTATGTCTATGTGTAAAAACAAGCACATAACATGTACACATATAATTGACTTGACGGCCACATATTGGGTGTGTACTGACATATTGAGGTTGTGAAAGATTATAAAAAAATCATCATGATAATATTATGTGTGCTCAAGTTAACCTGAAAATGACTCCTGGCATTTTCATGAATCTGTTCTATTACAAGGGGTCGGCGTGGTTGAGTCGGTAAAGATCATGGTTGCTAGACCGAAAAGTCTCGAGTTCGAACCCTCGGGTAGATGAGGCTCGTTGGCTGGGGACAGCCACCCTTATAGGAAACCCAACTCCGAAATCAAACAACTGCTGCCTTGTAGTTTGTTCTTGGTTGGAAAAATGGAAGCAAATCCAAACAAGAAAAGCAGGCTGAAATCGAAGTCAATGGCCTCAATGGCGCATGACCAGTTGACACGTATACTTAATTGTGTTGGAGGGATCTCTTCCAACACTAAAATTAAGAACAAAGAAGAAGAAAGAAGTTCTATTCCAACACTAAAATGAAGAACGAAGAAGAAGAAAGAAGTTCTATTACATTTCTTTAATTACAAATATTACCTTCATGTGATGCGCATTATCAATATTACCGTAAACTTATAACTCAATATTATTAGTTTTATTATTCTTTTTAATAAATTCTTGGCGATTCTTAAAATAAACATTTGTTTTGCATTATTTTAAAAATGTAATTTTTTTTTAGAATCTATTTTTTTAGATCAGTTGAGGGGGGGGGGTATTTAAAAATATTTAAACCCTTTTGAAAATCCAACCGTACTGAGGCAAGGACGAAGAGTTTTGCTAAAACTTACATCAACATGCCGTATAGAGAAACAAATTTCAGGTATTTCAGCGGAAAAATAAACAAAATTTGTGGTGCATCTTTCATCTCTTATCTTTTCATCCCGTCCCTCCCGTCCCTCCCGCCCCGTGTATACACAACTACAAAGCAACATCCCCAGAAAGAAAGCAACACAAAACGGAAGCTGAGGACGAACTAGGCGTAGGCTGGGAACCGAAAAGGGGAAGACCCGAACCAAGGGATAGGGAAGTTCCGAAAAACAGGGAGTAGTGAAAGGGAAGTTCCGAAAATAGTGAAGTTCCGATACAGCTAGTACAAAGAAACGTGAAAAAAAATAGAAGATAGATGTAAAAAAAAAAAGGGGGGGGGGGGTGCAAAGAAGACGAAATGTTAAATGATTGTGAAAACAAACGTAATGGAGTTTCAGCTGGTGCGCACCTCGTACACATGTGGTATACACGTGGTGCACCCCTGGTTCAAGTATACGGCGATGTATCGGGACCTGGATACAGGATGCAGTTGGTCAGGCTGGTGGGTCCAGTCATAGAATCAAGTGAGGGGTGGGGGGGGGGGGGGGGGGAGGTGGTTGAAAAGACTAGATTGAGGGCGAACCGGGTGGTATTCGACCACTTGCTACACGCGATCTTCAACTCTACTTCATCTACTCACGTCACATCAGACGTGTATACAAAGTGTTGGCTACAATATTACTATGGTCTACAATTGGTGTATTTAGCCTTTTAATAACACAATGAGAGTTCATATCGCGCTTAAGGAGGCCTGGAATAAACTGTGCAAGTTCGAGCCGGCCTACAACTCTGGAGGGGGGGGGGGGGAATGAAGCGAAGGGGGCGTGTTGAGGGTGTACACTTTGTTAACTTAAAGAATTGGATGTTAAAAGGATATTGAGAAACGGTTATATTATAAATTACAATTACATATAGGGTATCAAAAGCAAAGTCAGCGTAGCAACATTTCGCTTGTAACTTGAATACGTTTCACGTGTCACATATCACGTGACAACTGCAGTGACCACGTGACCCGCAGGTTCTACATATAATCCCTCAGTCAATAAAATCATACATTTTTAATTTCTAAATCTTCTGGGTCAAAGGTCACATTGATGTGTGGTGCTCACCCATGCTATGGTTTTAAAAAGTCTAAACCTAACCTGGACTCTTTGAGACTAATCCTAATCTTGAGACTAATCCTGACACTATCCCTAAGCGAAACCGGAAGATAAAAAAAAAAGAACGATTCTGTATTGCCTTGGCATTTTTATCAGAGGCAATATTGCACACGAACCTGGTTGATACCTCGATGGCGGCGTTGCATGGGCCCTCGTTGATAGTGGTGTTTCATGGGCCCTCGTTGATAGTGGTGTTTCATGGGCCCTCGTTGATAGTGGTGTTTCATGGGGCCTCGTTGATAGTGGTATTTCATGGGCCCTCGTTGATAGTGGTGTTTCATGGGCCCTCGTTGATAGTGGTGTTTCATGGGCCCTCGTTGATAGTGGTGTTTCATGGGCCCTCGTTGATAGTGGTGTTTCATGGGCCCTCGTTGATAGTGGTGTTTCATTGGCCCTCGTTGATAGTGGTGTTTCATGGACCCTCGTTGATAGTGGTGTTTCATGGGCCCTCGTTGATAGTGGTGTTTCATGGGCCCTCGTTTATGGTGGTGTTTCATGGACCCTCGTTGATAGTGGTGTTTCATGGGCCCTCGTTGATAGTGGTGTTTCATGGGCCCTCGTTTATGGTGGTGTTTCATGGGCCCTCGTTGATAGTGGTGTTTCATGGGCCCTCGTTTATGGTGGTGTTTCATGGGCCCTCGTTTATGGTGGTGTTTCATGGGCCCTCGTTTATGGTGGTGTTTCATGGGCCCTCGTTTATGGTGGTGTTTCATGGGCCCTCGTTTATGGTGGTGTTTCGTGGGCCCTCGTTTATGGTGGTGTTTCATGGGCCCTCGTTTATGGTGGTGTTTCATGGGCCCTCGTTTATGGTGGTGTTTCATGGGCCCTCGTTTATGGTGGTGTTTCATGGGCCCTCGTTTATGGTGGTGTTTCATGGGCCCTCGTTTATGGTGGTGTTTCATGGGCCCTCGTTTATGGTGGTGTTTCATGGGCCCTCGTTTATGGTGGTGTTTCATGGGCCCTCGTTGATGGTGGTGTTTCATGGGCCCTCGTTTATGGTGGTGTTTCATGGGCCCTCGTTTATGGTGGTGTTTCATGGGCCCTCGTTTATGGTGGTGTTTCATGGGCCCTCGTTTATGGTGGTGTTTCATGGGCCCTCGTTTATGGTGGTGTTTCATGGGCCATCGTTTATGGTGGTGTTTCATGGGCCCTCGTTTATGGTGGTGTTTCATGGGCCCTCGTTTATGGTGGTGTTTCATGGGCCCTCGTTGATAGTGGTGTTTCATGGGCCCTCGTTTATGGTGGTGTTTCATGGGCCCTCGTTTATGGTGGTGTTTCGTGGGCCCTCGTTTATGGTGGTGTTTCATGGGCCCTCGTTGATAGTGGTGTTTCATGTGGGCCCTCGTTGATAGTGGTGTTTCATGGGCCCTCGTTTATGGTGGTGTTTCGTGGGCCCTCGTTTATGGTGGTGTTTCATGGGCCCTCGTTGATAGTGGTGTTTCATGTGGGCCCTCGTTGATAGTGGTGTTTCATGGGCCCTCGTTTATGGTGGTGTTTCGTGGGCCCTCGTTTATGGTGGTGTTTCATGGGCCCTCGTTTATGGTGGTGTTTCATGGGCCCTCGTTTATGGTGGTGTTTCGTGGGCCCTCGTTGATAGTGGTGTTTCGTGGGCCCTCGTTTATGGTGGTATTTCGTGGGCCACATCTGCCATATGCAGGGGGTCGTGCGGTACCCGAACCTCCCGTGACGTCACTTCCGGCTAGCATGCGAGCGTTTGTAAACACTCGACGTGTGGGTCCAGTTATCAGCATACAGGGGGGTAAACACAGCTCATTAGGGGGGGGGGTAAACACAGCTCATTAGGGCTTCCGGCGATACGGTATGGAAGGGGGGAGGGGGTAGAGGGAAGATGAAACTGCATATTAAAGTAATTTATCATCATCATTTCCCGTTCAGGGGGTCGGCGTGGTCGAGTCGGTAAAGCTCATGGTTGCGAAAAGTCTCGAGTTCGAACCCTCACCCCACCCCGAAGAGATACCTGGAAGAAACACTACCCCTAGAGTTGAGGTTAGGATAAAGGATAGAGTTGAGGTTAGGATAGAGTTGAGGATGTTAGGATTAAGGTATAGGGGATGTTAGGATTAAGGGATAGAGTTGAGGTTAGGATTAAAGGATGGAGTTGAGGTTAGGATTAATGATGCAAGATGATCATATCCCTGAGGATTGGGGTATCAGTAAGCCACTCACATCTTGTTTTGTTTAAATCCAACTCACACGCGCTTGTTTTTTTTTTTTATGAATGAGTTATTAAAAAAAATTCAATTATCTAAGAAAGTTATTAAAAACATGTTGTCTGAAATTATCATTTTTATGACCTGTCGATATGAAATCATCTCCAAGGCTCTCAGACCACCAGCTTCACGGGGAAAATGAAATTTGCGCCATTAAAAAGATATTAAACCGTAGCGGGCAGACGGCTGTAGGTGGCGCGCGCCGAGCCGTTTACCCGCGCCCAGTAGAGGGAGACAAACGATGAAATAAAGCAGACGCCGGCGGGAATAACGCGAGAAGCAGAAGTGAAGTCAGCAGCCGATGTAACCTTTCCTACGTGTGGCAGTCAGGCGGTGCAACTTAGCGCGGGTGTCGTCTGCTTTTTCTTTCAGACTTCTGCGTTGTTCACTTCAGCAGACAATAAGGGGGATCACTACCATATTACGAGTTACCGAACCTTATAAAATTAATTAACACAAAAAATAAGAAAACAAGTTTTTGTTCTTATTCACGTCTTGGATTACTGTAGCAATGAGTGGTGAGGCTGGTCCAGCGGTGCCCAGTCCACGGAAATGTTCTGGGGCAACTCTACTTCACCTAGAGCGCGTGTTGTGTCTGTGTCTGCTGTCAGGCTTGATCTGTCAGGTCGGCGCTCAACGCCCGAGGAAAAAAGGTGAGTTCATTAATTACAGCAGCACGGTTTTAATTAATTAAGTCTCGCAAGGCTAAAAGGTAAAGGCGTAGAACAAAGAAACCGGGTGGTCAAAGCTAAAAAAAACTTGCTATTTTTTTAAACGTTTCTCTTAGTGTATGTTGTAAATTAGCAACAAAAACCACTTGGACAGGGTAAAGTTTACACTAGAGATGGGGCCAGGGTAGTTAGGGTTAAGTATCTTTACAAACACCCAAACTTTAATTTAGGTATCACTTCGGGATACCCCATCCCACGGAGTATATCTACGCCCCCGATCCCCTCCCCCACTGACCCCCACCCAAGGAAAATTAAAAAAAAAACTATTTATATAGAAAATATATCATTTAACCAATATCCCCCCTCAAAGTATCAAGTACCCCTCTCCTCCGCTTTGTTTCTTTCAGAATTTTTCTCCGAGGGGTGGGGGGCTGTGGACTTTAAAATTTCGGGATCGGGTGGGGTCTAAAACTGGTAAACTATGTATTTTCTATTTAAAGTCTATTTAGTTTGGAGGAAGTTGGGGGGGGGGGGGGGTGGAAGGGGGGGGCGTACACTCCTTCCACACGCACCCCGAAGAGATACCTGGAAGAAACACTACCCCTCCTTCCCAAATCGGAGAAAAATTTCTGAAAGAAACACTACTTATACCATATGAGTATTTGCTTGATATATTAGGAGATTTTATTTTCTGACGTTTCGACCTATTGTCTCCGTCAGCAGAAGCTCGCCGTTAAAAAATAAACGCCATCAGTTGACAGTGTTCGTACATTGTTGGGTGACTGCAAGGGTTGCAACCATTGAGGAGATACCTGCTAGAGTCGTCAGCGTGATGGTCGTTGAATCAATTTAATTAGCTGAAGTGTGAGCGAAACTCCACGGGTACGATTCTCCCCGGCTGGCGGTAATTCCCGGAGTAGGGTGGGGGTGGAGGGGATCGTTCCAGATTTTTTTAGATGTGGGTAACAGGTGCTATAGGTGCAAAACTATGTCAACAATTACACGAGATTGTATGTGCTGGTGTCAACAATCACCCGTGATTGTATTTGTTAGTGTCATATACATGCCATTGTGTATGATGTACTTGTGGATGTTGATCCCATTGTGTATGATGTATAATTTATATGTTTGCCCTTATGAGTGAAGTACCTTAGAAGTGCATGTTTATGCCATTGTGTGTGAAGTGCATGTAAATGTTGATCCCTTTGTGTATGATGTACATGTTTATATGTTTGCCCTTATGAGTGAAGTACCTTAGAAGTATATGTGAATGTTTATGCCATTGTGTGTGAAGTAGATGTTAATATTGATGCCATGAGTCTGAAGTACACCCCCCTCCAAGCAGTCTACCACCCCCCCCCCCCACCCCCCATACACCCTTTCAAACCCTTGAATGAACATAGAAATACAAAAAAAAAACATGTTAAATACAAAATATATACTTTATGCAATGTCCGACGCCCTTCCGGAAATTAGCCCCCCCCCCCAATACAATATCCGAAAGAAACACTGTGTGCTATACCTGTGAATGTTGATACCCTTCAATGTGCTAGAGATGTGGCTCTATTGGTTTGGTTTGCTAACGGTGTCCAAGTTTTGTGCACCGGGTGAAAGGAATTTTTTTTTCTAAAAACTCTCCGGTTTCTCCTAACACTTTCAAATGTTGACGTGAAATAAACTCGGCTGTTTCAAGGGAAAAATCGGTTTAATTAAAATTGTGTTTGGCTCTCCTTCTTTGATGCCCGCACTTGAAGGGGAAAAAATTGCCGGGTATGGCTGAGACACGGCAGCTGTGGGGTGGGGTGCGGGTGGAGGGGGTAGGGTGGGTGATGGGTGTCTCTCCTCGATTTCTTAAATTCTGTGGCAGGATTGAAATTCGGAGGAAAATTTGCATTTTAATTGAGGTGATTTTTCAGACTGGTGAGGTTACATACTCTCTGAGTGACCACGGCAAAGTTGAGTCACGATGAGACGTAAGCCTAAGATAACACCAGCGGTTCTCACACCAACAGTTTCTTAAGGCTCCTCCATCCTCGTCATATCAGAGGTGACCAACTACGATTGTAAAACTGAGGCCGCCTTAAATTCTTAATAACAAGACGGGTGTCTTTATAAGGAATTGCGGCCTATGGTCAGTTTTGACCATTAAATGAGGCATGCATGACATCAACGACGTGAAGCGGATGATAGCTGGACAGGAAAAAGGCAATTAACCATTTGTTTAGAAAACGGTCGCTATTTTTTTGGGGTATCTCGGAGCTGCAGTCTTCGACCTCACGAATTTTCTCGAGGTGTTGTTAAAGTTTTGAGGTTGTGGTCACTTGCCGTCTGCCTTACCCGTACGGTGAGGTGGTTGGCGTGCCAATCCTTAAGTTTCCTGAAAACCACAGGAACTGCCGGGTTATATTTAAGTCTGTTTAACGGGGATAGCCTTAAGGCAAAGTCTGCAACTATAGAATGATCGAGCTTACAAACAAACGTGCTTTATTTCAATGCCACAGATTGGAATTAAAGTTGTCTTTTTTTCCTGCATTTATGATACAAATTAAATTTCGTAATTTAATTTTAATTGCTAGTTACGGCATATATTTATATTTACGTAACAGATTTATTTTATTTTTCGATATTACATACCATAATTTTGCAACAAATGTTTCAGATTTATGTCTCAGGTTTATGTCTCAGATTTATGTCTCAGATTTATGTCTCAGATTTATGTCTCAGATTTATGTCGCAGATTTATGTCGCAGATTTATGTCGCAGATTTATGTCGCAGATTTATGTCGCAGATTTATGTCGCAGATTTATGTCGCAGATTTATGTCTCAGATTTATGTCGCAGATTTATGTCTCAGATTTATGTCTCAGATTTATGTCTCAGATTTATGTCTCAGATTTATGTCTCAGATTTATGTCTCAGATTTATGTCTCAAATTTATGTCTCAGATTTATGTCTCAGATTTATGTCTCAGATTTATGTCGCAGATTTATGTCGCAGATTTATGTTGCAGATTTATGTGTCGATATTGTGACATCTAACGCTTACACTTTGCAGACGATCGAATAAGCAGACAAAATAAAATTCAGGATTCGCCTTTAAGCAGAATCAACGGATCAATACTTTCCAATGATTTATGACGACGCAATATTTGGTTGACCCACTAAGAACTGACCAGGTGCTAATTAGCAAAAATTAAAATCCGCCATTTGCGCCTACGTCAAAGTTAATTAACCACAGTGTAATGGGATCATTAATTTTGCGAAACTTGAGTTTAGGCGTAATTATAATGAAATTAAACATCTTAACCCATTAAATGGGAAAATCTGGTCGACCCTAGATTAAATAATCTGAGCTAATTTCCACATCATTTACTTAATTATTCTCTGATAATATTTCTTAGTGTACTTAAATAGCCTTTGGAAAAATAAATACACACACACTATGTGTGTGTATATATATATATATATATATATATATATATATATATATATATATATATATATATATATATATATATATATATATATATACATGTGCGTGCGTGTGTAAATGACATGACTTTTAACGTTGGGGCTGCACAAGCTAACCATGTCACGTCACAAATGACATGATTTTCTATAAATAGAACATCTATTTCCGGATGACCTTGTATGCATTAGGCCTACAAACCTGTCCATTAACATAAATTAGCCGTGGGAGAAATAAAGTTCCTTTAATGTATCAAAAACGTCCGGCCACTTTCATACATCAAATTGTGGGACTTTCATCCAGTTTCAAAAGAATACATAGATTTTAAAAAAAGTAATTTAAAAAAATTATGAACAAAAAATAGAGAAGTAATACAAACGTATTTGTCAATGATTGTTGATTCACGTATAGTAAAATAAATATCTGTATCTTTAAATTTGAATGTCTTATCTATATGATCTAACTTTACTTGTGACAAATCGACTTGTTTTCAAGCCACCATTTAACTACATCTAGTTGCGAATAGTGTGTGGACTGTGGGGAGGGGGGTTTCGTCTGGGAGAGGGGGGGGTGGTTGATCTGGGGGGGGGGGGGTTGGTCTGGGTGAGGGGCGGTCTGTGGAAGGATACTCTGGAGCAGAGGCGTAGCGAGGGGTGGGGGCGGGGGGTGCGGACCGCACCGGGTGACACCAATTAGGGGGTGACACCAAGGCAAAAAATAGCAAAATATATAGAGAAAAACTTGAGGGGGGGGGGGTGCAAATCAAAAGTTTGAGAGGAGGGGGTGCAAATCGAAAACTTGGGGGGGGGGGGGGGCGTGCAAATCGAAAGTTTGAGAGGGGGGTGCAAATCGATCGAAAAGTTGGAGGGGGGTGCAAATCGAAAATTTGTCCCCGGGAAGGGTCGCTACGTACATATATCTTTATAATAAGCTTTCTCATGCACGATATACAGAAACGATTAATTAAACTTTGTTTACTTAGATAGCAAAAAGCGTTGATTACCAAATGTGTTGAAAATATTTCAAGTCTAACCGTGGCATTTACTAACAAAGTTTATAAAAGGAATGGTTTATTCCCCGTGCACTATAAAGACACACAATCCCAGTGCCGCACACAAACATCCATGAGACCTCTCACATCCACACACTTACACACACACACGCACAGATGATTGATGGATGATCTGGCTAACAGACAGGATGTAAACACATTCTGTCATCGGTTTATGGCGCACTTGTCACTGTGACGTCACATCGACGTCACAGTGAGATCACCCTCTGTACTTTAACCGGCAACCGTCAACATCCATAACTCAGGCCACCGTCAACATCCATAGCTCAGTCAGCCGTCAATAAGTCCGTGGACAACATCATTCATTAAATTGGTCCGTCAACTCAAATATTTCGCTATTCTGTTATGAACGCACATCCAACACTTTAACTCGCATACACTTTGCCCACACACCCACACTACACACTTAACCCAAATACATTTTGTCTTACGCCCCCCCCCC